GGCTTAGTGGCTCAGCCTGTAATCCCGTGCTTTGGGAAGCCGAGGTGAGTGAATTGCCTGAGCCCGGGGGTTCAAGAGCCGGCTGGGCAACTTGACAAGACCTCATCTCTACAATAAATCAAAAAAATTAGCCGGGCGTGGTAGCGCGTGCCTGCATTTCCAGCTACTTGGAACGCTGAGGCGGAAGGATCGCTGGAGCCCAGCAGGGCGAGGCTGTGGTGGCCGGGAGAGGCCACTGTACTCCAGTCTGGGCGACTGAGTGAGACTCCAACTCAAAAAAAATCGGGACAAAGAAAACAGTTTACATATTTTTTTTGAGTTGTAGTCTCACTGTCGCCCAGGCTGGAGAGCAGTGGCACGCTCATGGCCACCCCAGCGTTGACCTGCTGGGCTCCGACAATCCTTCTGCCTCAGCCTTCCAAGTAGCCGGAACTACAGGCACGCACTATCACGCCTGACTAATTTTCGATGTACTGTAGAGACGAAATCTCGCCAAGTTGCCCGGGCTGGTCTCGAACCCGTGGGCTCAGGCAATCCACTCACCTCAGCCTCCCAAAGTGCTGGGATTACAGGCTGAGCCACTGAGCCTGGCCTTTTTTTTGGAGTTGGAGTCTCACTCCACCACCCAGGCTAGAGTGCAGTGGCATGCTCACAGCCACCCCAGCGGCGACCTGCTTTTGCCACAGCCTTCTAAGTAGCCGGAACTATAGGAGTGCTACCACAACTGGCTAATTTTTTGATTTATTGTAGAGACGAGGTTTCACCATGTTGCCCAGGCTGGTTTTGAACCTGCAGACTCAGGCAATCCTCTTGCCTCGGCCTCCCAAAGTGCTGGGATTACAGGTTTGAGCCACTGCGCCCGGCCTTTTCTACCTATTTCTTTTTTTTCTCCTGTTTTTAAGTTTTTATTTATATATAACAACACATATTTATGGAGTTATGTGATATTTAGATACATGTATACAATGTATACTTATCAAATCAGGATATTTAGAATATCTAGCAGATCAAACATTTATCAATTAACTGTTAGGAATATTTCAGATCTTCTCTTGTAACTATTTTGAAATATATAATTATTAAGTAGAGTCATCCTACTGTGCTACTTAGCACTTGAACATAGTCTCTATTTAATTGTATGTTTGTATTCATTAACCTACTCCAACCTCCTATCCCCTAAAATTACAAAAGTAATTGCTATGGTCTGAATGTTTGTGTCTACATACTTCTGTACAGAACACTAAGTTCATACAATCAATCAAGAATCAGAATATCAATACTAGCAGCTAGAAGTCAATAGAACAATACTTACGTAATTCTGAGGCAAAAAGATTTCCAACCTAGATTCTATACACAGTCAAAGCAGTCTCCTGAATAGATGGGACACTAGGAGCATACCACCACACCCAGCTAATTTTTGAACTGTTTGTAGAGATGGGGTCTTTGTGGCCCAGGCTTGTCTCAAAAAGCCAGACACAGAGGCATGTATACTGTGTGACTGCATTAATATGAAGTTCAAGAACAGGTAAAAATAATCTATAAGGGCAACAGAATAGAGAATACCTTATTTGGAGTGGGGAATTAATAAGCAGGAAAGGACATGAGAAGACCTTTGTGGGTTAATGGAAGTTCATACTGTGACTTCGGCAGAGGTTACATGAACGTTTGCATAGGTAAATTATCATTGAGATGCTCTTATGATTTGTGAATTATACTATGTGTTAAGTTACAACTCAAAGAGAGAGAAAGACGGAGGCAAAACCCAAAACAATCAGCCAGAAGAATTAAAGTGGTTGCCTCTAAGAAGCAGTAAATGGAGTGGGTGGTAAATTCTTTAGAGTGAGCCCTGCAGAATTTCTCTACTCTAAAATATATTTGAATTTGTAACTTTGACAAAATGTAATGAAATAGTAACTCTTGATCCTCTTGTTAGAGAAAATAAAATTAAAAATATATATAATGAAAAATATATATAATGAAGAAAGACTAGACTTGTGAAGTTAGCCTGACCTGGATTCAAATGTCAGCTCTACCATTTACTGTCTGGAGAGTGGTGGCAAGCTATATTGACTCTCTGGACTTCAGTTTCCTCTCTCTCTCTCTCTTTTTGAGTCGAGGTCTCACTGTCACCCAGGCTGGAAGGCAGTGGCATGATCACAGCTCACTGTAGCCTTGACCTCCTGGGCTCAGGCGATCCTTCTGTCTCAGCCTGTGTAGCTGGAACTACAGGCAAATATCAGCATGTCTGGCTAATTTTTTGTAGAGATGAAGTCTGCTGTGTTACCTAGGCTGGTCTCAAACTCCTGGGCTCAAGCAATCCTCTCAACTTGGCCTCCCTAAATATTGGAAATGTAGGTGTGAGCCATTGTGCTTGGCCCAGTTTCCTTATCTTAAAATCAGACTAATAGAACCATGTAAAAAAAAAACAATGAGTTTGTGCATCTAAACCACTTGTCACAAATAATCAGGATTAGGTAAGTGCTAGTTTTAACCCCAACTACCATGTTCCTTCAGAATATATATATATATATATTTTTTTTTTTTTTTGAGTAGGAGTCTCACTCTGTCACCAAGGCTGGAGTGCAGTGGCATGCTGATCACAGCCACCGCAGCCTTGAACCTGCTGGGTTCAGGCGATCCTTCTGCCTCACTCTTCCAAGTGGCTGGAACTACAGGCACATGCCACCATGCCCGGTTACTTTTTTGATTTATTGTAGAGATGAGGTCTCACCAAGTTGCCCAGGCTGGTCTCAAACCCACGGGCTCAGGCAATCTTCTCGCCTTGGCCTTCCAAAGTGCTGGGATTATAGGCATGAGACACTGCGCCCGGCCCAGATATTTAAAAATAACCATGCAGACCGCAACTGAGCACCCAGTACCCCTATGTGTGTTGCTCTCCTCTGCCCACTCCAGACACCTCGCAGCTCTCTGACCTCACTGTTCATTTATTCCAGCACTGCTACATAGTCAGCCAACTCATTTCCCTTTGGAGAGAGTCAGGGGTTCCCCTCTTTGCCAGCTGAGTTGCTCCCCCACCTAACAATTATTCACATGGTAATCAACACTTTCTCTTCAGACTTAAGTGAAAAAACATGGGGATTAAATAAAATAATCTCTAAGTTTCTTTTAGCACTAACATTTCAAGGTTTATTTTTTCCCCTGAAGAATTTATTTCTTTTTTGGTTTTGAGTCATGGTCTCACTTTGTTGCCCAGGATGGAGTACAGTGGCATGATCACACCTAACCATAGCCTACAACTCCTGGGCTCAAGTGATACTCCTGTATCAGTCTCCCAAATAACTGGAATCATAGGTGTGCACTACCACACCCAGCTACTTATTTTTTTACGTTTTTTTTTTTTTTGAGTTGCAGTCTTACTCTGTTGCCCAGACTGGAGTGCAGCGGCCACTCCCGGCCACCGCAGCCTCAACCTGCTGGGCTCCAGAGATCCTTCTGCCTCAGCCTTCCCAGTAGCTGGAATTACAGGCATGCTGTAGCTACAACGCCTAGCTGATTTTTTGATTTTATTGTAGAGATGAGGTCTCGCTGCCCAGGCGGGTCTCGAACCCACGGGCTCAGGCAATCCACTCACCTCAGCCTCCCAAAGACATGGGATTACAGGCCTTTTTCTTAACTTTTTATAAAGATAGGATCTTGCTATGTTGCCCAGGCCGGTCTCAAACTCCTGAACTCAAGCAACATGATGTTTCTTTTCTTTTCTTTTTTTTTTTTGAGTTGGAGTCTCACTCAGTCGCCCAGACAGGAGTGCAGTGGCCGCTCCCAGCCACCGCAGCCTCGACCTGCTGGGCTCCGGCGATCCTTCCGCCTCAGTCTTCCAAGTAGCTGGAACTATGGGCATACTACCATGCCCAGCTAATTTTTGATTCATTACAGAGATGAGGTCTTGCCAAATTGCCCAGGCTGGTCTCGAACCCACAGGCTCAGGCAATCCACTCGCCTTGGCCTCCCAAAGTGCTGGGATTACAGGCTGAGCCACCAAGCCCGGCCTCTTTCTTCCTTTTCTTCTTTTTTCTTCCTTCCGCCCTTTTAAAAATTTTTTTGAGTTGGAGTCTCACTCAGTCGCCCAGACTGGAGTGCAGTGGCTGCTCCCGGTCACCGCAGCCTCGACCTGCTGGGCTCCGGCGATCCTTCCACTTTAGCTTTCCAAGTAGCTGGAACTACAGGTGCGCACTACCACACCCAGCTAATTTTTTGATTTATTGTAGAGATGCGGTCTCACCAAGTTGCCCAGGCGGGTCTCGAACCCGCGGGCTCAGGCAATCCACTCACCTCGGCCTCCCAAAGTGCTGGGATTACAGGTTGAGCCACCGAGCCCAGCCCAACCTGATGTTTCTATTTCTTCTTTTTATTTTTTTAAGCTAGAGTCTCAACCGTCACCCAGGCTGGAGTGCAGTGGCACACTCACAGCCACCACAGCCTTGACCTACTGGGCTCGGGCAATCCTTCCACCTCAGCCTTCTAAGTAGCTGGAACCTCAGGTGCAACCAAAGCCACCATACCTGGCTCATTTTTTGTTTTATTGTAGAGTCAAGGTCTTGCTAAGTTACCTATGCTGGTCTTGAATCCCTGGAGTCAGGCAATCCTCTTGCCTCCAACTCCCAAAATGCTGAGATTACAAGCATGAGCTACCATGCCCAGCCTTGATGTTTCTATTTCTGTGCAGCCTTTCCCAGACCTCCTCACAGCTCTAAAGATGTTTGGTGAGGCACCTGATATTGTCAAACAGTAACAGATGGCATGCCACTTACAGAAACAGGTAGGGGGTGACGCTGTCTTCTCTCATCTCTCCAAATGTCAAGAACCCTGTGGTACTGAGTTAAAGATTCACCTTTGCAAGATTACACACATCTCAGCCTACCCTGGAAGTGTTATCTCTTAGGATCAGGTAAATTCTAAGATATCTTTTCTTTTCTGGAGTAAAATAAGGATTTGTGTGCAAGCCAATAAACACAGCTCTCCTGGTTGGAATAAGCACTTACCTGTCCAAAGTGATGAGCCAAAATAATGTCCACAACATTGGTTGTCAGACCTGAGAGCTAAAAAGATAAAAATTCTGTGTCATGAGAGAAAACGTATGTACATTTATCACAGTGTGCACTTAAAATAAGTGCACTGTATTGTATATGTTATTCCTCAAAAAACAAGCAAAATCCCTCACAATTCAGTGTCACACATTTTCATGAAATGGTGGTTTCAAAGAAACATGAGAAAAAGTAACAAGTCAGAAAAAAATTTATTCTCCCTTCTAAGGTAACAATAGATCCTGTTTGAAAGAGAATCTGGAAGAAAAGTTGGCCACTCCTCCTCTGAAAACCAGAAACCTAGAACTCGTGGCTATTTGCAACTTCATTCCTGTCTGCATTTCTGTCTTTACATTGATATATGGCTGATAAGGATTGACTTACAATCACTCCCAAGACATTCAAGAGACAAACCAGTGGTTTTCTTCCAGTTTTTGCTATCTTCATTTCAGGGAGCAGGAGGAAATGACTATGTTTACAAGATGTACTTGCATTTTAAACATTTTTTCCCTAATTCTTCCCAAATCAAAATGATGCATCTAACAGTCGAATAAATGCAGCAATCTGTATAAACTTGCTGCGACTGTTAGTCTATTTTCAGAAAAATTTCCAACTCAAATTATGTTGCTGATTTCCCTTATGCCTTCATCCTTGGTTTTATGCCAGATCCTACTGCTGACTTGAATCAGAGGTAAAGTAGAGTTGGGGGTGGAGACAGAGATAAGCTTAGGAGACATGTGCGGAGCAGGATCATATAGTCCCAGAAAGTTGAAGGAAGAAGTCTATGATGATTTCATATGGGTTATCAGTGATCTATAGATTATAAAGATAATAAAAATTGCTATTATTTTTAGACAGTGTCTCTCTCTGTCAACCATGTCAGGTTAATTTTTTTAGGGAGAGAGCTGGGGGGGTCTCGCTATGTTGCCCAGGCTGGTCTCAAATTCTTAGCCTCAAGCTATCCTCTCGCCTCAGCGTTGCATAGTGATGTGACTAGGCCCAGATAGATAATTAGAATTAATACCCAATCTCACTTCATGTTTAATACTCATGAGTCTAAAGTGTCATATGAATTTTATAAGGTAAGAATTAGGATAAATTTTAGATAAGCCAGGCTATGAGAAATAATTTCCACAGCATCTGGCAGTAGCATTGTTGTTAATAGCACGCAACTGTAATCCCAGCTACTCAGGAGGCTGAGACAGAAGGATGGCCTGAGTCCAGGAGTTCAAGGCTATGATGAGTCACGATTGTGCCACTGCATTCCAGCCTAGGCAACAGGGTGAGACTCTTACTTTAAAAGAAAAAAGTTTCATTCAAAGCTAGGAAATACATAATTTCCCCAAAATTTCAATGTGCAAAGAAATGGATAAATTGCTTTGAATCTGCTGGTAGGTAGAATATTTTAATAGTTTAATTATTTTTAAAAACGCTTACCACAGAAAAGTTGGAAAAAATAAATATGAAAACATCATTTGTAATACTACCAGCCAAAGATGTAACTACTAGTAAAATTATTTTCTTTTCTTATGCACATATGTATTTAACAAAATTGAGATACTATATAGTTGGATGTTATTCACTTAAAGTGAGAATTTTCTCATTTCCTTAAATAACCAAATAGCATAATTTTTTTTACTGAACAATCAAAAAATTTTGTTACCCTGTATTATTGGCGCTTAGGCTGTTTCCATCTTTTTACCTTATAAACAATACTTTAATGAATATTCTGGCTCTGCAACTTACTAGCTATGTGACCTTAAACAAATGACTTAATTTTTCTGTGGAGTAATAATAGTATCACTTTACTAGACTGTCCTGAGAAGTAAAAGTTTAAACATATACAAAACATTTAAGAACACAGTGCCCAGGTTGGGCATAGTGGCTCTCGCCTATAACCCAGCACTTTGGGAGGCCAAGGTAAGAGGACTGTCTGAGCCCACGGGTTCAAGACTAGCCTGGGCAACTTGGCAAAACCTCATCTCTACAATAAATCAAAAAATTAGCTGGATGTGGTGGCACATGCCTGTAATTCCAACTTCTTGGAAGGCTGAGGCAGAAGGATCACCTGAGCCCAGCAGGTTGAGGCTGCGGTGGCTTTGAGCATGCCACTGTACTCCAGCCTGGGCGACAGAGTAAGACTTCAAATAAAAAAAAAAAAAAAAAAAAAAAAAAAAGGACAGTGCCTGGTATATAGTAAGCACTATATAGGTATAGGTGTTAGTTTTTAAAATAAATCATCCATCCAAACATCCTCCCTCCATCCATCTACAACATCTCTCTCTGTTGTCCAGGCTAGAATACAGTGGTGCAATCACAGCTCACTGTAGCCTCAAACTCCAGGGCTCAAGTGATCCTTCTACTTTGGCCTCCCAAGTAGGTGGGACTACAGGCATGTGCCACCATGCCTGGCTTTTTTTTTTTTGTAGATATAGGGTCTCACTGTGTTGCCCAGGCTAGTGTTGAATTCCTGGCCTCAAGTGATCCTCCTGTCTCATTCTCCCAAAGTGCTGGGATTACAGGCAACAGCTACCACGATCAGCCTAAAAATTTATTATCCTTCTAATTAAATCTGTGTGTCACTCACTGTGTTTCAAATAAGTTTCTGGATATTGAATCTCATGGTTTGAGTATCAATAAAGATTCTAAATACGTGAGGCAAGCTGGGTGGTGGTATTTTGGTATTTTGGAGACTATCTTCTCGAATGGTGTATTAGAACAAACATTTATGGCAACTAAAAAGTATTTGGAAGTAGGCATTTGTGTAAAATTGAGTGAGCACATTAGACATCCTTTAGCAGTCAAGAAAGTCTTAGGTTAAAGACTGCTTCCTTTCCAATCTATTATTAGACCAGGTGAGCACAATGCAAATGGGATGTAACTGAATGCTTTTCCCTTCATTCTTGCTGTTTACTCTGGTTTAGAACTGAGATTGTTTATATTTGTAAAGTTATCAGTATTTGCCTTTAATGTCCTATCTTCTTGAGCAGATTTTGGAGGTTAAATTCCTTCACCTTTCAGTTAGCAAACATAACAATCCTCTCATGTCTTTGGGAGCAGTAGCACTAATGAGCTGTTTGCATTCACCGAAGAGGGTGATTCATTCATTCATTAACAAAGTGAAAACACAAACCACAGAGTAGAAGATATCTGAGATATAACTACCAAGCAAAGGACTCATACACAGAACATTTTTTTAAAAGGCAGAGGGAATAAGGTTGGGGACAAGACTTGAACAGGCACTTCACAAGAGAATATATTTTTAAAAAGTGCCGGACATCAATGCCCATTAGGAAATGCAAATTAAAACCCAGTATTATTTTACCTATAAGCATAGCTTAAAATTTAAAAGATGGTATAATCGAAAATTGCTATTTTAATACCTAAAGCTATCTTGGTGATGGGTGCCATATAAAAACAAAGTAATACTACAAATAAAACTGCTTATCTTTTACAAAAATTAAAAGAACTGACAACATCAAATGTTGGTAAGGATGTGGAGCACTAGAACTGGTGGTGTGTAAACTGGTCAAGTACTTTGGCAATTTATCTACGAAAGCTAAACCTACAACTGCCCTATGACCAGCAATTTCACTCCCAGGCATAAACCCAAGAAAAAGAAATACGTGTGTCTCCTGAAAAACATAAAGGAATGTGCATAGCGTTATGAACCAAGTAACAAAGACAACTCATTCTGTGTATTCACACAACAGATTGCCAGACAGCAGTTTAGAACGACTGATACAAACAAGGTGCATGCGTCTCACAGACACAATGATGAATGAAAGCAACTAGACACAAACACTCCAACTAAGACATTCGATAAAGTGTCTAAAAGCAGATAAACCCTACCTATGGTCAGATGCAGGGGCTCACACCTGTAGTCCCAGCATTTTGGGAGGTGGAGCTGAGAGGACTGCCTGAGCCCAGGGGGTTGAGACCAGCCAGGGCAGTTGGACAAGACCTTACCTCTACAGTAAATTAAAAAATTAGCCAGGTGTGGTGGCAAGTGCCTCTGGTTCTAGTTACTGGGAAGACTGAGATCGAAGGATCACCTGAGCCCAGCAGGTCGCGGCTGCAGTGGACTGTGACTGTGCCCCCGCATTCCAGTCTGGATAAAAGAGTGAGACTCTTTTATCCAGGGGGGGAAAAAACCTATTTATGGTTGACAGAAGTTAGAACAAGGTTATTTCTGGAAAGAAAAGGAAGCATTAATTAGGAAAAGACACAAGGGAATCCTCTGGAAAGTTCAAAATAGTCTACATACTGAGTGGGTGGAGATTGCATATATAAACATTCTATCAAGCTGCATACTTAAAATTTTTTGTATTTAATTATATATATACCTCAATGAAAAATAGATAAGTTGTTTTGAGATGCGTGAAGATGAACTGATGGACACTATCATTTGGTACTTACTTTGGAAGCTGCCCAGTCAATCCAGCCTTTGGCACAAGGGTCAACATTAATAAGCACAAGGCCTTCCACAAGTTCCGGATGATTAAGCTAAAAGATGAGACAAAGACAATAGTATAAAAGTTTCACTGCCACAGTTCTAAATGGTTAGAACATGGTTAATCACTTCTTAATATGCCTTAATGCCTCACATTTTGAAAGTAAGACTACAGAGTGGTGGCTAGGGAGAAGATGTAGAAAACAGCTCTTGAAATCTGATTTAGCATCTGGAAACCAGTTTCTTAAATTGCAAGGAAGATAAGCTTTTTTATTTCCATAAGATAAGAAAGCACTTGGTATGTCTGCAGTTGTTCAACTCTTCCCTGCTGGAAAAGTGTTCTTAGCACAAGGGGCTACTCAGGCTTAGATGGGCTGTTTCACACTTATGTTATCTTTGCTCCCAACAGGACTTCTAAAGTTTTTATACCATCCTCAGAAAATTCTCCTGAAGGCATTTCAAAAAAAAAGTTCCTTAAATAAGAACATTTCCATGCTCTTCAAAACTATCTAGCTTTCTTTTATTTTCTCTTATTATACTGATTATGTTCACTGTAAAAAATTTGATAACCAGAGAAATTATAAAAAGCAGGAAATAGACTCTCACATTATCTTACCACACATCAATCGCTGTTAACATTTTGGTACATTTCTGCTTAGGTCTTTCCTATGGCTTTGACAAAATTTATGTGAATCTGTATTCTAACCTTTTGTTTAACATTTCAGTGTATGCAACTAATGCATCATTATCAACTCTTTTAATTTTAATGGCTGTACAAAATTTCATCATAAGCAGCATACAGACATTACTTTTTTTTTTTTTTTTGTGAGTAGCAGTTTCACTCTGTTGCTCAGGCTGGAGGACAGTGGCATGAGCATGGCTACTGTAGTCTCAACCTGCCAGGCACAAGCGATCCTTCTGCCTCAGCCTTTCAAATAGCTGGGACTACAGGTGTGCACCACCATGTCCAGCTAGTTTTTTGATTGACTGTAGAGATGAGGTCTTGTCATGTTGGTCTTGTACTCCTAGCTTCAGAAATCCTCTTACTTCAGCCTCCCAAAGTACTGGGATTACACGTGTGAGCCATGGCACCTGGTTTTTGGCCTTACTTTTTATCAGTGATGCCCTGCCGCATCTATGATTTTTCAGATATTATAAGTACAAAGTACAGTTTTATAAAACCTATTCTAAAGCTGACAGAACTTACAGAAAACCTAACATGAGGCCTATGATAGTGCCTGATCATTTAACACAGCAGTAATAGCTGTGACCCAGGCAGTGCCTCAAGGGTGTCAAGATTCATCCTTTACATACTTACTGCAAATCTACTGAGGACATAAGCTCCAGCTCCAACTCCAATTCCAACGATGCTTTTCAGGCTGTGAATGGGACATACCAACAATTGACAGAATCAACTTCATGTGGAGTCAGCATTTCATGATGAAAAGAATACAACCTGGATTCAAATTCTGACACTGACGTTTACTAGATGTGAGAATATGGGCAAATTGCTTTCAACTGTTTTCTTTCTTTCTTTGTGAGCCTCAGGTCTCTATCTATAAAAACAAGGATATCATCGCCTACTTGTGCTTTTAATGAAATATGACTAAAATCTGGGAGTCATCTTTGACAACTCACTGTCCTATCATATGGAGTCTACCTCCAGAATATTTTCATCTATCTCCATCTATTTCAATGCAGTCCAACAGCATCCAGGACCAAGCTATTATAATCTCTCATCTGGACTAGACACTAACTATTCTCCCTGTCTTTTCTCTCATACTCCTGTTCAAACCATTCTCTCCACAGTGAGAGTAATCCTTTTAAACATATTTAACAGCTTTATTGATGTATGATTTATCTACCTAAAGTGATCATTTAAAAAACTAAATGGAATATTTCTCCCCTGTTTAAAATCCTTCAATATCTTTTCTTTATACGTAAAATACTTTAGAATAAAGTTGCAATTCTTGCCTGATCTGTCAGACTTCTGTAACCTGGTCCTTGGCTACCTCTTGAATTTTACCCTGTACCTTTCTTCTATTTGCTCATCTGGTCTGGGAAGTCTTGGACGTATTCTTCCTGTCTGGAATCCTTTTTCCCTGGCTGTCTATATTCCTTTTTATTTTCCAGACCTCAGTCTAGATGACGCCATCCTAGAAAGGCATTCTCTAGCCTTATTTATGTAGACCCTGCCTTATTCTCCATCACAAACTCCCACTGACTTTTATTTTTGAGTAGGAGTCCACTCTGTTGACCAGATTGGAGTGCAGGGGCACACTCACAGCCACCGCAGTCTCAACCTGCTGGGCTCAGGTGATCCTTCCACCTTAGCCTTCCAAGTAGCTGGGACCACAGGCACGCGCCACCACACCCTGTTAATCTTTTCACTATTATTATTATTTATTGTAGAGATGAGGTCTCACCAAGTTGCCCAGGCTGTCTTGAACCCCTGGGATCAGGCAATTCTCTTGCCTCAGCCTCTTAAAGTGTTGGGATTACAGGCATGTACCATCAAGTCCAGCTTTTTTTTTTGAGTTGGAGTCTCACTTGGTCGCCCAGACTGGAGGGCAGTGGCCACTCCCGGCCACCGCAGCCTCGACCTGCTGGGCTCGGGCAATCCTTCCGCCTCAGCCTTCCGAGTAGCCGGAATTACAGGCATGCGCTACCACGCCCGGCTGATTTTTTGATTTATTGTAGAGATGAGGTCTCGCTGCCCAGGCGGGCCCAAAGGTGCGGGATTACAGGCTGAGCCACCGAGCCCGGCTCAGCTTTTTTTTTAAAGAGACAAGGTCTCACTCACCAGAGTGCAGTGGCACAATCATAGCTCACTGTCGCCTCGAACTCCTGGGGTCAAGCAATCCTCCTGCTTCAGCCTCCAGAGTAGCTGAAGGTATGAGACACCATACCTGACTCCCACTGACTTCCTTTATAGCACTTTATTGTGATTATTTGTTTGCCTGCTTGTTACCCCACTAAGCTTCAGGAGGATAGTGACTTCTGTTGTGCTCACCATCGAATCCTCTGAAGCAGACATTGTAGAATTAATTGACTGTAGAAAGTCAATAAAGACTGTGTGAAACACTGTAGAATGAACCTACCTTAGGTGGGTAAGAACAGGAGGCAGCATTTCGGCCAGCTCATCCATCGTGGGATACTGGTACCTGAAATCCAGAAGGGTATTTCCTGAGTTAGAAAGCACTCAAACTTCCCAGTTGTAGAACAGTTGGAAAAGTCCATAAGTCTTAGATAAAAGCATTTCCTTTCACCAAAGTCTCAAAAGAGGTGATGTGCTACCTTAAAACAACTGTAGCATGTTGTATAACTCTCTATTACTGCCATGCTAAGGAGAAAGCATAAAAACCTACATGCTTCTGTATCTTAAAGAGCAGTCTCTGGAATCAGAGGAAGTCACATGAAAAGAACTGGTAATACGGCTCTCTTTTAATTTCCAAACCTCCAACAATCCCTTCAATTGGGGACCAGGCTCAGGAAACTTCCATCAATAAGCATCAACTCAGGAAGTGCCTCTTGGTCTGCTGCTTACATAGGCAGCTAAACGTAAAAGTAAACAAAGCTTTACTGAGTCTAAACGCACAGTTACAAACCTTCAGCATGGGCTGGGTGTGGTGGCTCACGCCTATAATCCCAGCACTTTGGGAGGCCGAGGTGAGAAGACTGCCTGAGCCCACAGGCTTGAAAACAGCTTGGGAAACTTGGTGAGATCTCACCTCTATAATAAATAAAAAAATTAGCTGGGCATGGTGGTGCATGCCTGTAGTTCCAGCTACTTGGAAGGCTGAGGCAGAAGGATCGCCTTAGCCCAGCAGGTCGAGGCTGTGGTGGCTGCGAGCATGCCACTGCACTTCTGCCTGGGTGACATAGTGAGACTCTGACTCAAAAAAACAAACAAAAAACCCTTCAGCATGAATGCTTATTTGTTTCACATAGGCATAAGATAATAAGGCTATTTTATTAATTACTTTTGAATTGTGTTCATGATATGAACCACTTGATCCCAAAATGGTCAGGAAAGCTCAGGAACAGATCTAGACCAGGAATCCAAGAAAAGTGATGAGCATCCATAGAGACTGCAGATCAGAGATCGGAGGGATCCTAAGATCCCCTACATAAGGTAGGATCTGCTCTACATTGGACAGGGAAGTCAGCCTGTCTCTGCTTGAACACTTTAAGGGATGAGGTACTCTTGAACCATTTGTACACAAAATAGAAACAAGGAACTGGATACAAATCTTGCTGGATATAAACTGATCACTGGCGAATTTGCATTTGAAAGGCAGAACAACTTGAACACAGTCAACACAGATTCTGGAGTCAGACCACCTGGGTTAAAATCCTAGCTCGACTACTTAATTGTTATATAACCTTAGCCAATTTACTTAATTTTTCTGAGCCTCAGTTTCCTCACTACTAAAATGGGAAAACCAGTAAACCTATCTCATAGGGTTGAGAGGATTAAATGAGTTATGCAAAGTATTTAAAACAGTGTCTGGAACACTGAGTACTGTGTAAGTGGTAGCTTTGTCTGCAATGGTCTGTTTCACAGCAGTCACTGGCCAAAGGCAGCTCTGCAGATAAGTAAAAGGAGAGAGGAAGAATTGGCACTCTACAATGTGTGCTCTTCTCCTAAGGTCCTCTGAATAAGCATGCTGTCCAGAGAACAGGTAGGGAGCCTGTGACTTTGCCATGCAAAGAGCAGATATAGGATGAAGCTGAGGGTGTCAAGGTCAGCCACACTGCACCTTGACAGTCAGGGTAATGTCTCAGAAAACATGGTTATAGACATACTCAAACTTCTATCACTAGACTGGGAGCTAAGAATGGGGAGATGCTCTCAGGGAAGCTCAGAGTTTGGACCTACATAGTTAGGAGTTTCAGGGAGGGACACAAAAACAACAGACTTCCAACAGATGAGGAAGGAGACAGATAAAAGGTACAGGTGTGTTCCAGACACTTAAGCCTTGTGATTATAGAAAAGCAGGTCCTTGCTATGGAGAGTCATTCCTGGATATGGGAAAACAAGCAGTTTCCCCCAACAGACGTTGCAACAGCCCTCTCAGCCCAAGGAGAGGAAACATGAGGATTATTACAGGCTGTAATAAAATCGAGTGGGAGGGAAGCACACACTCCTTCTCCCACTGGAGCTCAGTCGCTTGCTCTTCTGAGTACATGTCTCCCGCAAGATCTTGCTTGTGGTCTTACCCTGTTGGGAAAGGGGGTGCACCTTCCTGCTGGCCTGGGGCATCCACATGACAGACAGCAAAGTGCTGGGTGATCTCTTGCATATCCTCAAAGTTAAAGAACGCATTGAAACAGGATTTATCTATAAGAGTAAAAATACCCATAAGTCACAGGCTCTCCATTTCTCAATTTTCCTCTACTCAGTCAGTACCATATCATAATGCTCTTTCACTTCCTTTTCAACACCATTCCACTAAAGTGAGGTGTCTGACCACTCTATCTGATTCAAGCTGCCCTACAGGCTGAATATGAGACGTTTCATATTGAGACACATATTGAAAACAACTAATTCTCAATTCTAAACAATGTCTACAAAGTAGAAAACACTTTGTTGACTTCTGTTGGTTTCCAGGTATTGCACAAAATAATATTACACCCACAATGCTGTTATTTCTCATGCACATAATTCGCCTATCTGACCAAGAGAGACTGACTATACCCCAAAAGTCTGGCTAGAGTGAATGTCCTGAGATGCAAACATTCATGACATGGGAGTGTGTCTCTTGGGAAAATTGCTAGAGTGCAGAAAGAGGTGGTCACTTCTGTTTTTACCATCTTAGTATAACTGCATAATCACTTCTCATGCTAAGGTGGTTACAAAAGTTCTATCACTGAAGCACTAGCCTTACCTCAAATGTAGGCCACCTTTGAAAGTCAGAGCAGCATGAAGGAAAACTCATGTATACAGATTCTGTGTAACTATGACTAGAGCCAGAATCTCATACTACCATCTAGAAAAGTCCACCTTAAGTCACTGATGACTGGCTGGCTGTAGCAAGAATACTTTTACTAATTCACTGAAGACTCATAACAAAGTTAAGTTCAAACTCTGGATTTTTCTAATCTGAAACATAAAAAAAGCCAAGAACAGACTTGAAAAAAACGGATTTCGGGTCTACTTTCTTAATTAGGTCATTGTATAATCCTCAGTCCTTTAGCAGATATGACACAAAGGCAAGATATAACTCCAGTATTCCCCAAAACACATTCTCCTGCACATTTCCCCAGGAACTTTAACCCTGCCATTAACAAACAAAGCAATGAGGAGGGAGGGTTAATACAGAGGAAAACCTCTGCTCTAATAAGAACATTGTTGTTTGATCTTTTTTAATATAAAAAGGTTAAGTATGATAAAAAGACAAGGTGTAAAATCAAATACATACGGTTGAGGCCAATGTCATGATATGTCAGTATAACTGGTCTGTTTCCCTTCGGTAAGCCTCGTATAGTGACATGAACCACACCGTGAGTTGTTTCTATGTCGTGCTCCTGTAATAAGAGAATTTAAGGTCTCAGCAAAGGCAGAATGAACTTTTCAGGTTGCAAAAGTTTCACACACACACACACACACACACACACACACACACACACACAAAGTTTCACAATACCTGCTTTACCACCATTTCCCACTAGCTAGAGCAAGACACATTAATAAACTATGAGCATACCAGAGAGATGCCACATTATATATAATATTCCTACTTTCTAATTCTTTCAGAAAAATAAATAGAAAGAAAAGCATACCTTTTCATCCCTAAAGCTAACTTAAGAGTCCAGGAAATCAGGGACCTGTTGAGAATATATTCACAATTGGCTAAGAAAAGAAAATCAGCAAACTGAGTAAGGAGCCAGGTAAACTTGGGGGAAAAATGCTTAAGGAAACAAAAAAACATTAAGTTGCTGGGTAAAAAGTCAGAGGCTTCAGAGCTTCCAAATACATGCTCAGCTACTGATAGTTTCAGTAGACACTTGTGGGTAGTGTCTCTTTTTCTGAGAGATGCCCTTCTGTGTTATATACACGTTACTGCAGTGGCTCTTGGCTGCCACATTGTAGAACATAACCTTATAGCCACAGCTTACTGGAGGTAGGGAGGCACCTGGTCCATGCTGGGTCAGCAATCTTCCCTAGGAATTTGTAATTGGGACTAAGAGATTCCAACCTCAGCTTGGTTCTTTTCTTGAAAAGATAAATAAACTAGGGAGTTTGTTTTTTGTTTTTCCCAAGTTGGAGTCTCACTCTGTCGCCCAGGCTGAAGTGCAGTGGCACACTCACAGTCACCCCAGCAACGACCTGCTGGGCTCCAGCGATCCTTCTGCCTCAGCCTTCCAAGTAGCCAGAACTACAAGTGCACACAACCACACCCGACTAATTTTTTTTTTTTATTGTAGAAATGAGGTCTTGCCAAATTGTCCAGGCTTGTCTCAAATCCATGGGCTCAGGCAATCCACTTGCCTTGGCCTCCCAAAGTGCTGAGATTACAGGCTGAGCCACTGAGACTGGCCACTAGGGAGCTTTTAGGAGGTGCTACTACTCTAATTTCTGTAGTAGGGGCTACTACTCTAATTTCTGGTTCCAGTTGAGTTCTGAGACACCTCTGGATTGTCTCCAGTTTAAACTATATTGGGTGGGTTTGTTCCCTATATCCCAAAGGATCCTAACCAAAGCAATGAGTCAAGTTCGGTGACTGAAGAAAGCCAAAACAGGATTTAAGTAGAATGACTAGGAGTGGCTGAAGCACTAGGAGAGGTTGGGTGGAAAAGGGACTTCAGAAAAGTTAACTGGGATTTATTCTAGTCCTCTTCAACTTTTATATTGCAAAAAATAAAAAACTACAAGATTTAGCTTAGTGGATTTCTGCTGAAGTCTGTATTTATCTCAGAAAGTCTTATATTAGACAAGATTAACTCTGTCAACAAGAATATCAACAAAGGCAAAGGACTTTCAACTTAATTTCCTACATAATAAGAAACCTTATCGGAGCTTTGGTTCCTTCTCTGATGTGGGATAAAAAAGACAATTGTATGCTAACTGGACATCAGCATGTCTCAAATCCTAGGTCCCAGGTTGGAGCAGACAGATATCTCTATCAAGTCAAACCCTGTGTGACTCAGTATTTCTGTTATTCTTTATTACTACTATCACCTATTCAAGTCTATCAAGGCTTAAAAAAGGGAAGAAATGAAAAATAAAATCAGGGTTGGGCGCAGTGGCTCATGCCTATAATCTCAGCACTTTGAGAGGCCGAGGTGGGAGGATTGCTTGAGCCCAGGAGTTCAAGACCAGCCAGAGCAACATAATAAGACCTCATCTCCATTTTAAAAAAATATCAAATTAGCCGGGCTCAGTGGCTCGGCCTGTAATCCCACACCTTTGGAAGGCTGAGGTGAGTGGATTGCTTGAGCCCACGGGTTCGAGACCCGCCTGGGCAGTGAGACCTCATCTCTACAATAAATCAAAAAATCAGCTGGGCGTGGTAGCGCATGCCTGTAATTCCGGCTACTTGGAAGGCTGAGGCGGAAGGATCGCCGGAGCCCAGCAGGTCGAGACTGCAGTGGCCGGGAGTGGCCACTGCACTCCAATCTGGGCGACAGTGAGACTCCAACTCAAAAAAAAATCAAATAAAAAAAAAATCAGGTACTGTGAACTGGCTATGGAATAAACTATCAGGTTTGGAAAGGAGGACTATGAAGAAATAAATTCCTGTTTCTGAGTCTCTTGGTATTTTTAGACTTACTTATTGAGGGACTTATCCCTGCCAGGTTTATTTATTAAACATCTATTTCTTGAATACCTACTACATGCCAGGCCTTAAACTAAGCTCTGGGGATGAAACCATAAACTAGAGAGATGTGATCTCAGTCTTTACAGAGATTATGTTCTAGATAAGGAGGCAGACAATAAGCACACACACACACAAACCCATCATAATGGCTTATGATAAGTGCTATGAAAGAAACGAGGTGCTATGGCAGAAAATAAAGTAAGACATTAGCTTCACTAAGTGGTCAGGAAAGTATAAACTACATTCAATGAGATACTATTTCATACACACCAGGATGGCAAAAACTTAAAGTCAGGTAATACCAAGTGTTGGCCAGGATGCAGACAAATAAGAACTCACATATACTGTTGGTAGGCAAGTAAACTGGAACAACTACCCTGGAGAATGATTTAGTAATTTCTAGTAAAGTTAAAAGGCACCTATCCTATAGCAATTTTATTTATAGATATACCCTAAAGAAACTCAAATATGTCACACACACAAAAAGACATACACAGAGATGTACAGTTATTCTTGAACAACACAAGGGCTAGTGGTGCTGACTCCTCATGCAGTCAAAAATCTGTGTTTATATTTTGATTTCCCCAAAACTTAATGGATAGCCCGCTGTTGACTGGAAGTCTCACCAATAACATAGTCAATTAACATGCATTTTTCATGTTATTTTATACACTAGATACAGTAAAGTTAGAGAAAGGAAAATGGTATTAAGAAGCTAAAGTATATTTGCTGTTCATTAAGTGGAAGTGGATCACCATAAAGGTCTTCATTGTCTATGTTAAGTAGATGGAAGAAGAGGAGGAGGAGGAAGAGGCGTTGTTGATCTCACTCTCTGAGGTAGCAGAGGCGGAAGAAGTGGAGGAGGTAAAAGAGGAGGCAGAGGGGGCAGGCACATTCAGTGCTACTTGATGGAAATACATCATAACTTCTGACTTTTTTGCTTTTTCATTTCTCTACAAATATTTCTATATGGCACCAATCTTTCTATCATTTGCTTTAGTTCCAGGGCCTGTATCAAAGAACAGTCTATGTTGCAAAAGAAGTCAAAAGCAGTCTTGAACTGGAACCCTTCTGCCAGACTGTCTGAGGCCAACTTGTTTTCTAGCATTGCTTCTTCTACATCTTCTCCCTCATCTGGCACTGGGTCAGATGCAGACCTCTCTCTTCAAGTTGTCTTCTGTTATTTCCTCTGGTGAATTCCTTCTGTTAACTTTTAAATTTCTCCAAGATTTGTGACTTTAAGCCCTCTACCCTATCCTTCACCTTTTTTTTTTTTTTTTTTTGCTATATCCAAAATCTCTTTCACGATACTTTATTTGTTTTGCTGCAAATCCTATGAAGTCATGCACAACATCTAGACACAGCTTTTTTTCAAGCAGGCATTTATTGTTTCTGGTTTGATGGCTTTCGTGGATTTTTCTGCAATAATAATGTAACCCTTCCAGACTTTCATGATGTTCTATTAGAATTTTCTTCCATGATGTCACCAATTCTTTCCACAGAGTATTGCATATAAGTCCTAGAGGTCCTTATAACTCCCTGTCCTAGAAGCAGAATTAAAGACATTGCTTGGGGGTAGGTAGACCGCTTCCACATTTTGGTGTTGAACTCAAGGGGTTGGAACAATCTGGGTGGCCAGGGGCGTTGTCCAACATTAAAAAAAAACTTTAAAAGGCAGTCCCTTACCGGCAAAGGAGTTCCTGACTTAAGGAACAAAGCATTGATGTAACCAATCCAGAAAAAAGGTTCTCCCTGTCCAGGTCTTCCTGCTGTACAACCTAAAGACTGGTAGCTAGTGTTTATCTTTTCCCTTCAAGACTTGGGAAGTTAGCAATTTTAAAGGGCAATCCTTATAAACTCGACTGCATTTGCACAAAACAGTAGAGCTAGGTTACCCCTTCCTGACTTAAATCCTGCCACTCAATTCTCTTCCTTACTAGTAAGTGTCCTTGGGCACTTTTCCAGAACAGGGCCTTTCTGTCTGCATTAAAAACCTGTTCAGACAGGCATCTCTTCTCCTCAATAATTTTTTTATCTGTCTGTTTATCTATCTATCTACCTACCTATCTACCTACCTACCTACCTACCTACCTACCTGTCAGGGTCTCACTCTGTTGCCCAGGCTGGATGGAGTGCAGTGACATGCTCATACCTCACTGCAGCCTCAACCTCCAGGGCTCAGATAACTCTTCTGTCTCAGCCTCCCAAGTAGCTAGCTGGTCAGCCATCACACACAACTTTTTTTTTTTTTTTTTTTTTGAGTTGGGAGTCTCACTTTGTTGCCCAGGCTGGAGTGCAGTGGCATGCTCATAGCCACGCCAGTGTCAAGCTGCTGAGCTCCGGTGATCCTTCCGCCTCAGCCTTCCAAGTAGCCAGAACTGTAGGCGCATGCTACCACGCCCAGCTAAATTTTTGATTTACTGCAAAGACGAGGTCTCGCCAAGTTGCCCAGGCTGGTCTCAAACCCACAGGCTCAGGCAATTCACTTGCCTCAGCCTCCCAAAGTGGTGGGATTATAGGCTGAGCCACCGAGCCCGGCCTTTTTTTTTTCTTTTCATAAAGATAAGTTCTCACTATGCTTCCCAGGCTGGTCTTAACTCCTGGTCTTAAGCAATCCTCCTGCCTCAGCCTCCCAAAGTGTTGGGATTACAGGTATTAGACACTGTGCCCAGCTCACCTTGATAATTTTTTTTTAAGGAAGCAAGA